TATAAGACTGGGTGGTCAAGTTCATTTTTAAAATGTATTTCATATTATAGCAAGAAGATATGACATTGTTTTCTTTACTGAATATAATTATATAGTTTATTACTAGAAAATCCATACACGCATTTCATATTTAAAGGTGCTTAGACACAAATTTGAACTTAATATTTTCTCAAATTTTCTGTAAAAAATCACGACTTATATATTGCAATAGCATTTCACATGAAAATATAATTAAAAACTTATTTTATCTGGAAATTATTGGAACTACGAATACGGGACGCGTTTGATTAACACATCTGTGCACTTACACAAATTTTAACTTCATCCTTAATATTTAAGAAAAGAATCGATTTTGTTATGTATTAATGAAAAATATTACATCTATAATCCAGAAAATTCAGAGTAGAAATGTTGGAAAGCAAAACCAACTCACCAGTATTGTCAGTCCGTGCTCTATGATGTGTACAGAGTTTAACAAATGGAACACACCCGTGAAACGTAAACTGTTTTTGTAAACAGGGCACGAGCTCTGTTATTGTTAATGTTTACGATTCACCGGGTGTGTTAAATTGTTAAACTCTGCACAAACCACTGAGCACGGACTTACAATACTGTGAGTGGGTTTTGCTTCCGAACATTTCTACTCTGAATTTTCTGGGTTATAGTTTTAATATTTTTCATTAATACACAACAAAATTGCCACTTTTCTTAAGTATTAAGAATAAATTTAAAATATGTGAAAGCGTAAGGATGTGTCAATCCAACGCATCCAGAAATTCGAAGTTATAATAACTTCGAGATGAAATAAGATTTTTATTATATTTTAGTATGAAATGCTATAGCAACATATAAGTCATGAAATTATACAGAAAATTTGAGAAAATATTAACTTAAAATACGTTGTAAATATAAGGTAATTTATTGGACACTTGGCCACCTTAATTGATTATTGATAACACTATTATTAATTGCTACTTATTAACACATGAAGCGCATTGAAATGCAGAAATGAAAGTAGAGAAAGGTTTACTGTAAATCACTTTTTATTCGCGAGGACTTTATTTTCGCGTACTTATACGAGTCTGTCTGATCGCGAAAATTTCATTAGTAAGGATTGTAACAACAAAAACCATAGCTTGCTAATAAATATCAAATAGCCATCTTGCGAAAACAAGGTGTCGTGAACATATAGTGATCTACATTACGCTATACTTATTTTGAATAAATACAATATTATTTCATCACTTCATATCTTTTACCATCCACCGCGCTGTCCCAAACATCCTGCACTTAACTTTATCATCGTTAATCATTTAGTTAGAAACTTGAAAAGGATTTTATCTTGTTCATTTATTTTGTACGTGATAAAGTAGCTACTTGAGCACTCATCGCACTAAATAAAGCATGTCTATATATGCATGGGCCCAGGAAACGGGGGGGGGGGGGGGGAGGGGAGGGGATGCTCCCCAAATTGTATCGATATATAGTACATGTACATCTATACTACGGAAAAGATAGCTATGGAAAAGATAGCATCTACATAACTACATATTTACGTGTTATAATGCTATTTGTTAGAAAGAACCCTTTATATTCATATATCAAAACAACTGTACTAAGTAGCTTAACAAACAGAGTAACAAATTTTATTTTACAATGGCTGAATACTTCAAAAGACTACCAGCTCGAAAAATAATGAATTTTTTCCGTTATTCAGCGTGTCTTAACATTTTTTCCCTGTCTTGCAAAGTCTGTAAACGACATTGTGTCGAATCAAATGTATACCATTAACAAAATAGCATATGGTGCAAAACACAATAGAAATAATACCATGAAAAAGTCATGAGAAAGAATGTTCAGTACATGAAGAGCTCTAGACTTCGTCGGGCATTAGCATAAGAAAAGAAGGTCCTCCCCTAGCCTGAATGACTTGTCTCAGAACGCACCTTTGGGTATTGTACGTGCTTACATGTATTTCTTCATTCTTATCAACGTATTTGTGGCCTTTCCAACTTTACATGTAGATTAGTAAACACCAATGTACGATTTCTTTCTCGTAAAAAGCGAATATCGTTGATGGGTATTACGTTGACATAATACACAAGAGAAACAATATATTCACAAGCTTAAATATAAATTATGAACACATGTTTGTATGCATGGGGACTGGTATTTCAGGACTTATTTTGGTAGTACGGAAGCCCATTTAGGACCTATCAAAAACATTTTTTGATAAAACGAATTGTCGAATTTGTTAAAACGAATTTAATTCGTTATAACATTTTTTTAATTCGTTATAACGAATTAAATCTGTTACTATGATAAAAGATTTCTTAGATTCGCTATTGTAACGTGCTGATGCTACACTCTGAACTGCCTAAGTCTGTCAGGATGGTGCATTTCAAATATTAAAGTTTGTTTATTTCTTTTATTATTTAATTTTTTTCTGACACCAGGTACTATATAAGTACCAAAGAAACAAAATGAAGAGTCTGCTTCAAGTTCCACAATTTATTTAGTTTTTGTTTGTTTGTTTATTGTTTAACGTCCCTCTCGAGAATTTTTCACACATATGGAGACGCCACCACTTGCCGGTGGAGAGCTAAAAACGGCACTGAGGGCCATTGAGTAGTGAGGGATCTTTTTCGTGCCGGCGCCTACTGCGACACGGGACCTCGGTTTATACGGTCTCATCCGAAGGACCGGTCTCCACGTCCCACAGTGGGATTCGAACCCGCGACGTAAGGATCAACTCCTTACTCCGCGACTCTAGAGCAATTTATTTAGTGCAATAGTTCCTTTTAACAAGATAATTACTTCATTTAATAGCCTCCTCAAAATAACATGAAATATGATTTCCTTGTTTCTTAATTTCTCCCAAAATAAAATCAGAACTCACACTACTTTGGTAAAGTCTGATTCAGAGATAACTCAGAATATGTGACTTTAATTAAATTACTTGCATTAACTAATAAATTAATTGATAAAATTCCCAACTTTTATAAAGCCTGATTCAGAGATAACTCAGAATATGTGTCTTTTAATTAAGTTAAGTTATTCACACTAATTAACAAATTAAATGATCAGATTTCCAAATTGTGGAAATATGTGATCAAATCTAAATCCCTAAAAATATTTTCTAGCAATTTCAATTAGTTTTTACCCAGTAAAATTCCAAATGAATAAATAAACTTGCATCTTAAAAATTATGCTAACCCCACTTGTTTCTTTAAAACCCAAAAGTTGCAGACTAACTGAAAATTACCGGATTCTTCTTATTTATACCCCCAATAAAATCCGTTTAACCAATTTACTCTAAAAATTCGTCTACTAAGAACATATTTCATTTACAGTAAACGGAAAATGTCTTGTGCAACATAGTTCCATTATTAAAACTTTCAAACAAATAAAATTATACAATTTAAATACTACTTTTCATTCAACATCTCATGTATAAAGATAAAAAATATTTTTTGTTTACTTACAATGTCAACGTCCTGAAATCCACAAGAGGCATGAATATTAATAGGGGTGAAATCTAAAAACAGCAAATTGACCCGGAAGTAAAGGTCAACCTATGAACTACAAAAAATTAGTAGCTGACAACTTCTTTCAAAAAGTGTACAAATAATGGAATTAAGACAATGCATATACCATAACAATCAACGAAAATGCATCGTTATAGCCTGGGAATGAATCAGTAAGTGTGTCAATTAAAATATTTAATAATTACCATGAAATGAAACGCACGTGTGACATATGAGTTCGAATTTCCTCAACATAACTAAATACGTAAGATATACCATTACAATAGTCTAGTAATAAATAAAATTACACACATTAAACTTTAAAAATAAGTACCTGAGCAAAACGTAGTATTGTAAAATGCAAGTTTCCCGTAATTTACAACTATAAAACACAGTAAAGTTAAGTCGAGTCAATCAATAGCATTGAGGGACCATCTCAAAATATAATGTTCAATATAATAACACAACATAACTTTACACTATAACGAATCCCAAAAATTGTTTTAACGAATTTGATTTGTTTAAACGGATTCGCCAATTCGTTATATGGAATTCACAAAGACTTTTTCTGTAGGCCCTAATTGTAGAATTTGATTTAACAAATTGAATTCGTAATTACAAAATTAAGAATTCGTTTAAAGGAATTTAATCTGTTAAAATTATAACAATTTTTTGAATTCGTTATTACCAAATTCAACAAATTTGTTTTAACAAATTTAATTCGTTATAACGAATTCAAAAAATTTTTATAACGAATTAAATTCGACAATTCGTTATATCGAATTCAAAAATATATTTGATATGACTGTCCTAAATGGGCTTCCGTATGATTGTATATGATGCACATGTGTATATACAGAATATATCAGATCTTTAAAATATTAAGAAATTGTACATTTTCTATAATGTTCAAATGTCTTCCTTTTTAAATGTGTATAGTTACAATTTTTGTCACTTTAAATTAGATTATTGAGAAACTTTGATTATAGCTTAATTTATTTATTTTATTTATATAGAGATAGATTTAGTTGCTATTAACATTTTTTTTTTTTTTTTTTTTTTTTTTTTTAAAAAGATCCCTTACAAAATTTGCCCTTAAGTTAAAGATTTAAAAGTCTTTATCGACTGTGCTTAAGAATTCTGATTAAAATGAAAATTAAAATGACTTTTCTACGCTATACATTTTGATCTTACTAACCCAATATGAAGATTACAAATACAAGCAAGCGTATTTGTAATTTTGTAATTAACACAAGAAAGGATAAAACATCTTAATGTCAGTAAAAATTATAGATGTGAGATTTAAGATTTATCACTCTTTTGATCAATAAAAAATCAATATCATTGAAACCCATCTTCTTCCTCCTTCATCACAAAAAAGCTTCAAACAAATCAAAATTATTGCTGAAGGTAACCGAGCGGCTCCTATGAACAGTCCAAACTTATAAATTCAAATACACATATCTTCTCAAAATGGCGAGTGAAGATGAAGTATACCATGTACCAGAAGATATTGAGGTCCAAGAAATCGGTCAATCTGCCAGAATGGGCGTTCCGGACATCCAGGAGCCTGAGGCCGAAGAGCCGCAACCACGAATTTGGCAGTTCTACGCAGCCACCCGGATATTTTCACTAACCCTCATATTGGGCAGCTTGATTACTGGATGGATTACGTATTCACTAATGCCTGCTGAAAAAGTAACAAATACAATATAATATATATTTTATAAAATTTATTTTAAATCCAATATTAATATTATTTACAGTATTACGATATATTTTATGGTTCTTTTTAAACAAATGTGCTGGGAAAATACTAGTAGCAGTACTTTGTAGTGGGTCTTATTATGTTCCGTTTTTATACCCATTTATTTACCCACCCATCCCCCACCCCCTTTTTTAAATAGTCATTTAATTTGTATTTGAGATTGTAAGTTATCGTCTTTATTTTTTTAAATTTTGATGAAGGCTTCTAATTTATCAAGGATTTTATTACAATTTCACTTTCATCGCGTTTCTTCTATAAAATATTTACTAAGTACAACTTAAAAATTCTTTGGGGAATTGATCACTGATGTTGTGTTAGCGAGAGTTAGAGTTATAATTACCCTAACCTGAAAATATCTCTTCTGTTGGAGATTTTAAGGTGGGTGTTAATGCTAAAAAAAGGGACCGGAAGATTTGGCAAAAAAAGTCATGTACAAAGGTCAGTTAGTCAACCATCAGAACGACAACTCGAGAAAAAAATTGAAGTGGGGTTTTTAATTTTTTTTAATAGGAAAGCTCTAACTTAATTTTGGAAATGCTGGTAATTTGGAGAGGAGCACACCAATTCAAAAAAAAAAAAAAATGAATTTCAAGTAATCGCAACTATTCATTAATATTAACTCAATATAGATAAAACTGAAAAAAACGCAAACTTAGGAATGTTCGCATATTGTGCTAATTTATACACTGTAACACTGAATTTTGAAAGACGACACTAATTTATTTATCTTGGTAACTTGTGAAAACTAATTTCATTATCAGCTAAAAAAAATTGAAGAAGAACTTTTCATTCAAATACAAATATTAAAGAAAAATGTAATTCTGAATTTTCTGAATTTGACTTTTTAGAAATTTCTAAACAACGAATGCAAAGCCGAGGATTTGAAGCGCAGATTCATGATCATTCAAGTTATTGGCACAGTCATCGCTTTAGGGCAATTGGTCAACATATGCTATCAACTAAAAGTTAACACAGCCGAAAAATACAAAATTCAAGAACCATTGAATTATGTGGACGGTAGATCGGAGGTCCTGTTTATTCTTCTTTTGGTATTCATTCCTCAGCTAACCATTATGACCGATTTCGATACCAAATGCCGTTTAAATACGACATCTACTACCCGATGGTGCGACAACCAGTTTTCGAACATGGATGCCCGGGATTCTGCTGATGTCAAGGCCCGACTGGCTTTCGCAATTATTGGCTTCCTAAGCTGTCATTTCCGGTTTATTTTCAGTAGAAATTTGCCGAGGTTGGGCAGGAAAGGAGTGGCTGACGAGTTCGGAGCTTACAAATTAGAGAAAACCAAGCAAATCCAAACTCTCATTTTCCTCGATAAAAAGTGTCCACGAATCCTAAAATTTGTTGGCCTGGATTTTCTCTGCATTTGTCGAAAGTAAATATTATATTAGTGAAAACATGTAGACTTTTAGTACAGATTTATATAGTTAACAAATTTTAAAAGTGAACAAACATTTTTCACTTTGTATGACACCATAGACGCTGCAAAGTCATATCGAAGTAAATCAACTTCCTTTCTTTTTATGGCTAAATTCAACCAAAGATAATCATTCTAAAAATGAAGTTTTTTTCTTAATCGTTCCATTATAAGAATCTCATGAATAATGATAAAATAATTCTTTCAATTATACAGGATTAAAATTCCCTTACCATGTTTTCTTGGTTACTGCATATTGGACCATTGTACGCCTGTTTGGAGATGGATGTACTGTGTTTTGGAATGCTGGATCGGACGGCTTACAATCTGTCCGAAAAAAGAACGAGGTGAAGTCTGGTATGTGAACAGGGCCAGGAGATGCCGCAGACGACCTGGGTTTTTTTGCATTAACAAAGAAGATCCGTTCTGGCTTGGCGAGTACACGATGTTTATCTTGGGTTTAGCAACGGTTCTGACTGTATATTACGTGAGCATTTATTTGTGTTTTCTACCCGGAGCAGGGATAAAAAAATTGGAAACATTGTTAGGAATATACAACAAAATGTTAGCTTTTTTATAAGATACTGAATGCATTAAATAAAACCTAAAGAGCCCTCTATACACTGCACACTAAATAGTTCTGATTTTGTGGTATTTTTGTGCAGATAGAGTAATCTGCCCTTTGATCAAGAATAAAATAAATTGAAAATTGTCAGTTTATTACTTAATTTGTAACCAAATCAAGCATTCGCGACATTTTAATAGGACAAGATGAATAGAATGTATTCTTCATTTGCAGTATTTTGCCCACTTTAGTAAACAACAGTGATTTCTGTTCATCAGTACTTCATTGTCATTGAACATTTTTCCTGGGGGTAAATGCAAGGTACCTTATGCTGAAAATGTGATAGATAAGTTCAATATTTACACCTTTATCACTATAATTTTCTCTATGTTCAAAACATCTTTTCCTTCAGTGTATAGAGGGCCCTTAATTAAACCCAAGTAACATTTTCAAAAAAGACAACGGCCGACGAATTTTGAAGCAAATATTGGAGATTCTTCGGGCCACGATCGGCAGTTCATCGGCCGTTGTCTTGTCCGATTTTGGCTCCTTTTTTCGTCGGCCGACCAATTTTGTGTCCGTCGGGCCCAGTTATAATTTTTTCTGCGTCGGTGGCCGATTTCTTTAATTGAAGCAGTTATTGAATAGTCCATCGACCAACCCTTGATCATCGCCCGACCATCTGCAGACAGTTTGGTAAGTCGATAGTCGGTCGGTCGACATAAAGGTATTGGGTTTTCGTAAATGTCGGCCGATGATGAAAATCAAACTGCAGCTCAAAGATCGAGGGACGATTGACCGACTTATAAATATTTAAACATTTGAAGTCATCGGTGTTCGTAGGAATTAATGTGACTGCTCCTTGTACATCTCCCGATGCTAGTGTCGGCCGATCATGTTTTACAGCCGCCGATACAAGAAAAATTTGGTCGCCCGACCATCGGCTTAAATGTGACCTAAGTATTAGCCAGCAAAATGATCTGTATCTTTAGAGTTAATTCGTGTGTATAAGTTACACGACTTTACTGAGATTATTTGTTTTTTTAAATTCTATAACCTTTTTTAGATTGTTTATGCTTCAGATTTCTACTTTCTTCGATTCTTTTAGATACACTGGATTCCCATATTTTAATCTTTTTTTTTTTCAAATTGAGAATAAATAACTTTAAAGCAGTTTTTATGATTTACTTATTGAATTTACTTATAGGCTATAATACATGCATCTAATTATATAAAATGATGCAAATAGAAAGCACAGCAACTATTTAAAAAAAAGGAATATATATATATATATATATATATATATATATATATATATATATATATATATATATATATATATATATATATATATATATATATATATATATATATATTCATAAAAGAAGAATAAAAGCATAGAAGCATATTCGAACCCAACACTTTTAATGGAGACTTTGATCAACTGCTTACGTATCACAACTATAATCAAGAACGTTTCAGTGTTATTAATAGCACTTGTCAATTTGGTAGTACACATCGATCATTTGATTTCGAGTTTGATCTCATATGATTCCACCATCAATGTTCCCGTGTTTACTGTATGCAACCAAAAGTAGGGTTGTGAATATATATTTAAGTCTAAATACTTCATCATGTTGTACGTAATTAGAACATGCATTTTATCAGTAGTTTCCTGAACCCCTTTATACATGGGTTAAACTTTGTGACCGCAAGGTGGGGAATTTTTTTTTTTTTTTTTTTTTTACCAGTTTTTCTTCTTTAGTCTTTTATTTAGAAGATCCATTCTAATTGTTTGCAGAGATTGTTTCAAAGTAGAAAAAAACAAAAGAGAAAATTGATTTGTGATTGTAAGCAACTCATTAAAACTTCATTAAGAATATAGAGATCTAATAAGTTTAAGACGTCTCGTTCTTATGTTGCTTTTGTTTTCAAAACTAGAATCTGATACTATAAAGCTAGACAAGATTATAAAGCTGTCTTGATTTTTTGCATTCTAGAAGGGTATATATATTTGACATAACCAGAGGGTTTTGTGATTTAGTTACATGTTCTTCAAAATTCACTTTTCCATCCATGCTTTAAGAGCACTTATAACACTGAGTCTCATGTATTCTAAACAAGAGGCCAAAGCGCAGCTACATGTATGTTAAGGCTTCCCGAAGCTATAAAATGCGCTCAAAACATAATATGTCATTGCGAGGTCGGTTTTGGTTTTAATTTATAAGTATTGAACTTTAGTACTTCCAATTTATATCAAGGGTTTTCTCGGCTATATATTAGCATATTTGTTATGATATCACATGACTTTGTTGATCACGTGACGGTCATTTATAATTTTTTGAAGTGTTGCATATAAATCGCTTCGGCGCAGCTGATTAACACAATAATTATTATCATTTTGTTATATAAATAAACTCATCGTATCCTTGTGCATCCGAAATGTGCTTGGGAAAAGTCATAGTATTACTTGGGTACAAAATATTTCCTGAGAAATTCAACTTCCCTACAAATTTGAGGGTATTTTCCACACAATATCGTAATCTGTATTAAAACAAAGCCAACACACATTTTTCCCAAGCAAGATTCAGTTAGAGAACAACCTCTCCTTACAGATTTCCACAAAAATTCTCAGATTAATCCTCATTAATCACCTGCGCCAGACTCTTTTATACACACAAAATAAATTCTACCTCCAACCACGGGTATAAAACAGAATACATTTCAAAAGTATATTTTTCATAAGCATTTTGAACATGATGAATTTCAATCAAGGGTAGGTAAGCGGTGTATTTTTAAAATATTCGGACATATAAGACTTAAAAAACCTTAAAGGACCCGTGAATTTTGCAATAGCTATCTAGCATTTTACATGCAGTTTGAAATAAAGTGTAAAGTTCATGACACTCTCCCCGTCATAACACCTCAAGTTTGCAGTGACCTGACGTCATTTTCCATTATGATGTCATATTTTGGTAGTTCAGAGATGTGAAGGCACAGAGTGCACTGTCATATTCTACGGGAAGCCTTAACCTACCTGCGATGGCCTTACCGGTCACCTGAGTACATTACAACACTGTAAAGGATCCATAGAAGTATAAAACAAAATTAACTGATAGACAAAGCAATATTGCCCAAAATTTCAAAAATCTGGTAAAAATGCCCTTCCTTATTGTAGCATGCTAGACCCGAGCGATCTCCCTGTGATCATACTTGGTTTTCCCAAGCCTTAAAATACGGAAGCATATTAGTGCCACTTGGACACTTTTTTTATTTTTCATTTTCCACACTTTAATCTTTAGATTTAATCTGTAAATTTTACACTTTAATCTGTAATTTTTACACATTAATCTGTAAAATTTACACTTTAATCTGTAAAATTTACACTTTAATCTGTAAAATTTACACCTTAATCTGTAAAATTTAAAGTGTATTTTCACTATAAAATCATTAGAGCCCCACCCTAATACCAGAATCTCTGACCCTAGGGCCATGAAATTCACAAGTTTGGAATAGGCACGCTTCCTCATCATAACTATCTACTTAGTTCACCGGCATAATCTTAGATTTTTAAAAAGGAGATGGGCGAACATAGCGTGCAGAAAGCCTATAGCTTCAGATTTATAAAAATCATGTTCAATTTGTGAATTTAGTATTTAGTGTAAAGTTCTCATTATTGAAATTTATGAAATTATGATAAAAAAAACTTTTCAAAGGAAATTATTCCCGGCAAAATTTATTCTTTTATTAAAAAAAACAATGTAGTATTCGTGGGGTTCGAACCCAAGCAATAAAAATCCTGAGTATCATTTTCTTTCGAGACTAGCACGCTAACCACTAGACTACACAAGTCCTGATAAATAGTGGCATTTAAATTATGTTTGTGATATGACCCTTGACTTAATGGACTTCAAGTATTTCTCGAAAAGATGCGAATGTTATGTCATAAAAGTATATTTTTAAGGTATAGTGGGTCTTCGCTCCATATTTTTGGAAAAAAAAAATTTATGCAAACTTCGAGGATTAACTTTCAAAAAAATGGAGCGAAGACCCACTCGTATCGAAAAATAGTGTTATAGAATGAGAAAATGACTCTTTCGCCATCTTTAGTGTGTGTACAATAATTCATGAGCAAATAATTTCAATCTTTGTGAGATTTTTGCAAATTGTAGAGATTTTACATAAAGTATATTTTAATATTAGATGAAATATCAAGGAAAATTTTGAAATAATTGAGATTTAATTTTTCAACTTCATGATTGTCACACTATAGGCTTTTCGCTCGTCATGTTCACCCATCTTCTTAATATATTTTCACTATATTATCATTATAGCCCCGCCGTAACACCAGAACCCCTGACACAGGGGCCATGAAATTCAAAATTTTAGAAAAGGCATCTTTCCTCATCATAGCTATGCATATTGTTTGTTTGCTTAATACCTAGGAGCAGAGGAGAAGATTTTTTAAAGAATTAATGCATGTTCACTATATAATCTTTAGAGCCCCGCCCTAGCATCAGAACCCATGATCCTGGGACCATGAAATTCACAATTTTGGAAGGGGCACTCTTTCTCATCATAATTATCTACTTAGTTCATCAGCTTAATACCAAGGAGCAGAGGAGGGGATCTTTAAAGAATAAATGCATTTTCACTATATAATCATTAGAACCCCGCCCTAACACCAGAACCCCTGACCCAAGAGCCATGAAATTCACAATTTTAAAAGAGGCACCTTTCCTCATCATAACTATGCATATTGTTTGTTTGCTTAATACCCAGGAGCAGAGGAGAACATTTTTAAAGAAATAATGCACTTTCACTATAGAATCAATAGGGCCCCGCTGTAGCACTAGAACCCCTGACCCTGGGACCATGAATTTCACAATTTTAGTAGAGGGCTTAATGCTTATTACAATCGTACCAACAGTTTGACTGCTTGATATCCAGGAGTTAAGAAGCAGATTTTTAAAGATTACATTAATTTTAATGGTTTTGGTCCCAATGGGTGTCAATGCGCTTCTTTTGATGCTACAGAGCATT